TTCCTCAAAGATTCCATTCTGGGAGGTGAAACTTCTGTAACATCTAGTAAGTATGATACTTCCGTACCGGTTTCATTGTCTGTTTCTAATATTATTAATGTAGTCTAATCCATTCCAACCACCATCACACAAATATCATCTTTTACATCCTTTTCTGTTCCATCATCCACCATCACCACTTCTATTTCTGTTCCTGTTACAAATATCCCACCTGTTTTTGATACCACTTCAACTGAAATTTTGGTAATTACAAATGTGTCTGTTCCAACATCAACAACAATCATTTTTAAATTCACCACAACCACACAAGATTTTTCTCCAAACCCTATTCCATCTCTCACTACCGTCATTCCATAAGAACCAATCCACACTTTTACATCTCCATTAACTTCATCTCAATCACTTCCACAAACTTCTCATTTTTCAACTTTTGATACCGATCTTCATTTTGACTTCTTTAAAAAAGAAACCACTCTCCACGACTCACCCATCATCCATCCTGATTCAATTTCTCCCTCTGATCATAAAATGTTTGAGAGGACAATTTCTAATAACCATATAACTATTGAAATTCCCACAACTGAACCTTTCACTTGTTCTGAACTTTTCGATATGACTGAACCTGTAACTTCTAAACCCATCCCTTCTGAAAGTGACCTAGCCATAGTTTCCTATGACAAAACTTTTCCAAAAACTCTAGATGAATGCATCAATAGGTTAGAACTAAGGCTATGGAAAAGGTTTCAACATTAAGGGCAGAGGCAATCATCTCTACTATGCGTCAGGAAATGGATGATTCTTGGAAGAAGTTTCAGAAATGGATGACTTCTGAGTTTGAACGTTTTGACACTTTTGCTGAAGCATCAAAAGCTTGGGATGTCCAGATGGTAATTAAAAGGAAATAAACAAGAGAAAGAATCAGTTTGTTTGAACAACTTGCTGGTAAACAACAAGATGATGATGCAAGAGCATTGAAAGAAGGATAAGAAGCAAAACTTAAAGCTCAAGAAGAATAAAATCTTAGAAAAGCAGAAGAAGAAGCCAAACTCAAAGCTGCAGAAGAAGCAAGGAAAGCAGAAGAAGCTGCTAAGGCTAAAGAAGATGCTCTGGTTGCTTCATCTTCTGATCCTGCCTTAGTGCGTCTGGAAAACGCAATAGGTGAGATTAGAGGAGAACAACTGGTTTTCAGGGAAAGCATCATTGAACAGAAGTTTGTCAATGAGAATGTTCAGAACACGCTGAAGCTGATTCTTGACAAGATTTCTGCTCCTGCTCCTGCTCCTGAACCCTAGGCTCTAAGATTTTTCTTTTTCCTTTTGCTTCTGAACCATTGGACTATGCTTGCTTCTTACTTTTTGTGACTACTGTTTTTCTTCTGATTATTTGATATGTCTATAAGTCTTCTTTTGGGATCTTAGTTTGTTCTACTTCCTGTGACTGACTTCTTATTATGTGACTATTTGAAGTTAATGAAGTCTTCTTTTGGCTAATCACTTCTTATCTTTTCCTGTTATTTCATCTGGTTTTTATGTTTTTCACACATAATTACCTTTTTGATTATGACAAAAAGGGGGAGTAATTAAATGAACGTAATTTTGATTTTAATAATCAAATTCTGGAAAATGTTCTTAGAAAAGAGCTACTTACATTCTAACCCAGTTAAACTTCTGTTTCTGTTAGAAGTGTTTTCTTTTTCAGGAAATATGAACTTCGATTAAAGACAAAAATCTGAAAGCATTATGCAAGGCTTATGTCTAACCTGTTGGTTTCAGACTCTGAAGAAATTTTTCATATCATAATCAGAGTCCAAGAATTGAGAATCTGGAAGCTGTCTTAGTGACATTAAAGTTTCAAGATTTAAATTGATTTCATTTTCATTGGCATCTAGAGTTAAGACTCTCAAGATATGATATATTGGAACCAAGGGGAGTTTTTACTCAAATGGTTCAGAGTCAGGATATTCGAGCTTCATCAAGTCGTTGACTCAGGGGGAGTTTTATAAAAATTATAAGTGTATCTTACTATTTTTATTTTCACTATTTCTGATTATATGAACAAAACTGTATCATCAAAATACAGAGTTTTGTCACCATCAAAAAAGGGGAGATTGTTAGAACAAGATTTGGTTCTGCAATATTATCTCTGAGCTTTGATGATAAAAAATGAATATTTTAGTATGAATAATTTTGATACTCTAATGTTTGTTATTTTTGAGTATTTATCAAACATGTTCTACTTCTGATGGATGGCGCGACCACAACATTAGAAGAGAATTAGTTCCACTTCTGCGCTACACAAGTTCTGATAAACAGTAGCAAGACACTCTAGAAGCTTCTGAAGTGTAGGCTCTGATGTTTGTCTAAAGAAACAAGTCAGAAGATGTGAAGACAAAAGTTCTACTTCAGTCCAGATGCTGAAGACTCATGCTTCTAAAGACAACATGTTCTAAAGAAACAAGTCAGAACATCTGAAGAGAGAAGTTCTACTTAAGTCCATATACTGAAGACTTATGTTTCTGAAGACAAAATGTTTTAAAGACCAAGTGCTAAAGATTCTGAAGACGCAGTTCTGAAGACTGTGAAGACTTGAAGTTCTAAAGACCCATGATTCTAAGAAAAAGGTTCTAAAGACCAAGTGTTGAAGACTCTAAAGACATAAGTTCTAAAGACTCTGAAGACTTGAAGTTATGAAGACCCAAGGTTCTAAGAAAAGGGTTTCACGACTAAGTGCTGAAGACTCTGAAGACACAATTCTGAAGACTTGAAATTCTGATGACCTTGTGTTATGTTCTCGCTTCTAAACTCATGCCTGCAAAAGCCTCTAAAGTACAAATGGAAAGAAAATAACGATAACGTGGTACAAATAGTACATGGTACAATCAATGTTTCATTCCACTACTATGAAAGGATAGACGCGTCGCACGATCTTATCTCCCCACGTGATTGCTCAAGCCGCCAATATTTCTGGAAATCTCAAGAGTACCCCTCAATGAATATTTTATTTTATTGGTTATATAAAGCCTTGAAGACTAAGAGAGAAAGCTGAAGCTAATTCACTGAATATTCACGCAAAAGCGCTGTTCATAGCTTTCATATTTTTAGTCTATTGTTTTTACAATAGTTTACATATTCAGCTTGTGTAGAAGAAATATTCCTATAAACAAAACTTGTATTCAAACAATTGTTTAATTTTCCTTAAGGGACATATTAGGTTTGTATCCTTAAGAAGTCTAAGACTAGTGTGTCTTAGAGATTTGATTTTCCTTAAAAGACCAGTTAAGTCTGTATCCTTAAGAAGTCTAGGACTTGTGTGTCTTGGAGGTTGTTGTTAGTCACTTGCGGTTAACTTATGCATTGTAATAATTAGTTGGATTATTGGATTAAGTTCTCGTTTAAGAGAGGCAAAATCACCTGGCGGATAGACTAGACTAGCTTGATAGTTTTCAAGTGAACTAGTATAAATATACCTTGTTCGTTACTACATGTTCTTAATTATTGTTATTTTCAAGTGTGGAGAAAAAATATTTTTAATTAAAAGGGAATATTTTTAAAAGAATTTTTTTTTGGTTTAAAATCCAATTTAAATCCCTCTTTCTTGTATTTTTCGCACCTTTATTATGTCCTATATAAAATACAAATGATATGATTTTGTCTAAAAAATTTTACATTTTGTGTAACAAAATGATCCAGGTCAGTCAAAATTGAATTTAAAACAAAAAAATGGGCAAACCCCTCGGTTATGAACACAATTCAACGTAAATAGAGGGTATTTCCTCCGACTGTTTATAAAAACTGAGAGGTATGTGACAAACGCTACATAAGTTTGAAAATATTTTACCTCTCAAATTTACAATGATCAATGAGAGGTATGCTGAAGAATATTTTACCTCTCAGATTTACAATGATCAAGGGGTAAAGTGATAAGTTTTTATGATGTTCTTCGTTACTTTGTCTCTATAACCGAGGTTAAAGACCTTTTGCGTCGGAGGTCATATCCCTTTTTTGGAATAATGACCGTGCCTTTGTAGTAACAACCTGTGAACTGTAGTGATTACTTTATCTCATGAATGATATTTAAGTTAAGTGCATAAGGACACCTTTTATCTACTCTGACAATCAAAGTACTCTGCACATTGTAGTCAATCTAATCTTTTATAAAAGAATCAAACACCTCAAAATTGATTGTCATATTGTGAGAGAAACAAACTGAAAGAGTTATGAAACTTCTTTCTGTCAAGTTTAAGGATTAGCTAGCAGATTTCTTTACAAAAGTCTTGCATTCTCAACCATTCAACACACTTTTAATTAAGTTGAAGATGGTAGACATATACCAACCTTCAATTTGTAGGGGGATATTGAAGCACAAAGAAAATATATAGTAGCAAAGTTAAGAGTGTGTTGAAGATCAAAGCAACAAAGCCAATAGAGCTGTTTTGACAATTACAACACAATAACTAACTCCTATTTCAATTTAGATTCAGTTATAGAGATTATTAAAGTAGTTACCTAGCACCTAAAAAATCACATGGTATAGCATATACACGGTAGCTTGTGGTGGAAGCAACTTCATGTATATATAATTGAACATTGTAATTGTTGCAATTCAATGAGAATTTCTTCTATCATCATATTTATTTTGATTTCTTAATATTTATTAAAGGAAGACAACTTATAGATGGGATAGTTTTTATAAACGAAATTATTGATTTGGTAGAGAAGTATCATTGTGAGATCCCAATTTTTAAGATTAACTTCGAAAAGGCTTATGATATGTTAAGCATGCGTTTTTAGATTATATGTTAGACATATTTGATTTTGACGAGATATGGAGATCTTAAAAAAAGTTTACAATCGCACACTAGACAGAAATAAATGTCACAAAGAAGAAATGAAATGACAAGGTTCAACAACATAGGACTGTAAAATACAACAATTTTGTACCACTCTTTAATTGATGTGACAAGGATAATGAGGAAAATTATTATATTTTAACCGGTTTTATCAGACTTTTGTCATGTTGAGAACAACTCCATGACCGGGCTCAATAAGCATGTGGAAGGAAGGCGAATGACGATAACTCGGCGACACTGAAAACCGAAACTCCAACAGAATGAGAGACAACATCACCTTCAACTCAACCATGGCCAAATGCTGTCCTACACATACACGAGACCCCATTCCAAATGGCATGTAAACTTGTGGAATCTTGCATGCTCCTTGCACTCCATTTGCAAATCTTTCCGGATTAAATTCATGTGCATCATCCCCCCAAAGCTTCGAGTCTTGATGCAAAATCGGCATTGGAATGTGAATATTCATCCCTTTCGGAACTAATAGGCCTTTGAAAACAATGTCTTTGAAAACTTCTCGATTAACCGATGACGCTGGTGGATAAAGCCTCAATGTCTCTTGAATCACCATAGTTAACTGCAATGCAAGTAAACATTTATATACATTTGCTACAATTATATTGTTTTTTTTTAAAAACTTTGCGATTGACTAATTTAATTGGATTGACCTAAGACAAAAATTATTAGCACCCAGCGGGATTTGAATATGTTAACTTAGTATAGATTGTGTAAAACATACCATTTTCAAGCTTTTAAGCATAGTTGCATCTATATTACCATCTTTTCCAACAACTTCAAGCACCTCGGCGCGAACACGATCTTGCCAATCAGGGTGTGTAGATAACAACATTAAGCACCATGATGCTGTAATTGCAGTAGTCTCATATCCAGCAAAAAAAATATTTTTGCAATTATCGATTATAAATATGTCTTGAGAGATCGAATTCGGCAAGAAACTATCACCACTTTTGCATTTCTTTGCGCTGTCGAGTATCATTTGCAAGAGATCTTGTTCATCTCGAGCATTGTTTTGGCGTTTCTTTATGAGGTTTGATATCTTGGAGTTTATCTCTTTTTCTAATTTCCACATTTGTCTATTGGTTTTGTTTGGCAAATATCTACAACAAATTATGATATCATTTTCTTCATTAGAATTCGTCTGATACATTTTTTTCCGGAGATATCAGTGTTACAGAGATATCAACCTAACAATCATAAGAAGACAAATATTAAATGAAGAATAAAATACATACCTATAGCCTGGAATTCCAGCAAATATCTTGGAAATGACGTTTTGAAGTTCTCTAAGCTTTGTGAATATTTCTCTTCCTTCAACATAATTGCTTCCAAAACAAGCTTTTGCAATTATGTCAGATGATAAGTTTCGCAAGTCTTGATCAATTTTAATCTCTAAACTGTCTCCATGGTTTTTCAATTTGGTATCCCATAATCTTAGTAGTCCATTTGTTGAGTCCATTATCATATTGACCTTTGCCTTCATCATGAATTTTTTATTTATGAATAATGATAATTAAATTTCTAACTTCTTTGCTACAATTAGATTACTAAATCAACATTTACAAGCAATTGTATGGTAAACAATATTATATAAAATTCAACCAAACTCTTGAGCTCCAGTGAATTCATGGAGTTCCTGTTAAAGACGATATTCGAGAAATACCGAATTCGATTCTCAGATAGAAACAACACTTGTTCAGGCTATCCTGACTTCGAGACCGAACTCAATATCTAATAGTCTTTCGTGGTCATAAGAATTTGAATACAAGTTTTAGACACACTCACATAGATAACACTCAAATTTTATAAAAAGTAAAAATAATATATTTGAGATTGTGACAAATAAGTAAGTAGTATAATAATACCCTTACCTTCATTTTCTCTAGGTACAGTTCAGGGGCAATTATCTTCCTTTGATGAGCCCAATATTGACCACTTGATGATAATATACCTTGTCCAAGGAGTGGCCTATTATCTCTGGACATAAAAGAAGGCTTCCCAAGATTCAAAGACGTGTGTAGGACAATTTCCTTCACCATATCTATATCTGTCACCAGTAACCATTGTATGCTCCCAGAAGAAAACAAGAAAATGGGACCTACATGTATATAATTGATATTAGAATTTGGACTCTATTATAATTGACATCAAAATGTTGTTTGCCTAAAATTCTGAAAATAACACTAAGAATGTGTAAGAAAAGTTTGATAAGGTTAGCTTGTTTATAGTAAAAAAAGATAAGGTTGATCTGTGGAGGAGGAGGATAATCGCAGTCGCACTGGTCAGCAGACTTGAGTTCGACCAGAACAATTATCAGTGAATTATAACGATTTGAAAGTTACGCATGCTAATGCTATGAGAAAGGATATAGTAATTTACCGTATTGTTTTTTCCACTTGTAAATATGAGGGAAGAGATTAGAATGCCAGTCATGAGAAATGGATGTTGAAACACAATCTTTGTTGTTTTCTTGTGATGATTGAGTTTGGAGTAAAAGTCTCTTTATTTCTGGAATATTGCCAAAGTAGAAGTGAGGAGAAGGACCATTAATACCCTGTCTATGAAGCTTTGCTCTAAGTGATTTTGGACTCAACACCAAAATATTCAAAATATGAACCAAAATCACCAAAACTGCTCCAAACAACACTTTCATTATTGTGCTTATCTCAAAAATTTCCATTATGCTTTTCTCAACACTTCAAACTTGCCTCTTCAATGAATTATTTCTGACTCAATAACAACACTTTTCCACCAACTGTTTCCTCTTTATGTCTGTGTTTTGTTATGTTCTTTGGGTTGTACAACACTACTAGTGTTTTTCATTACCCTTTTGATGGATTGTTATATATTGCTTCATTCTCTTATCTTTTTTATACATATAACTATTATTATTTTCATTATGATAAAAAGAAAAAAAATATTTAATTTATTCTTACTTTTGACTAGTCAAGAAATAAATATTGAATAAGTTTAATACAATTAATGGAATATTTTGGTACATTTAATTTTGTATATATGTTTAATATATTTTTTTAATTAATGAATTGAATACTACACATTTTCCGAAGAATCAATTTTTGGAAAAATACTTTATTGTTTGGAAAAATAATTAATCAAATATTTTTTTTTTTGGAAATTATTGTTTTGGAAAAAATTATAATAAAAAATACATTTCGAGAAATATTTTGAAGATTGCTAATCTCTTAAAATCTGCTTCCTCATAAACTCCTATTAAGTCAAGAAATAAAATAAAAATTATTGATTTCTTAATTTTTTTTTTTAATTTTGTAAATTTGAAAAATTTAAAATTATATCAAAATTTTAGAGAATTGTCTACATGTTGAATATATTTTTTTAGTTAAATAATTGAATATTACACATTTTTCGGAAAATCAATTTTTTTCGAAAAGTAATTTAATTTTGAAAAAAGATTTAAACAATGATTTTTAAGAATTATAGTTTCTGAAAAATCTATCATAAAAAAAAATACATTTTGAGAAATATTTTGAAGATTTTCACTGTTCTAAAACCTTCTTCCTCATAAACTCCTTTTAATTAAATAAAACGAAATATTTTTTGTTTTTTAGAAAATCCATGGAGTTTTTTTATAGAAATTTTTTTAATTAATTTTTTTACTTTTATAAAATTTTCAAATTGCATCAAAATTTTAGAAAACACTACCAAATATTAAAAAATTTTAAAAATTTTAAAAATTCCAAATATAAGTCAGAAGTTTTCCAAAATTCCAGCTCACCGAGAAATCAAGAAAAACCCAAAATTGATTAAATATATAAAACAATATATATATATATATATATATATATATATATATATATATATATATATATATATATATATATATATATATATATATATATATATATATATATATATATATATATATATATATATATATATATATATATATATATATATATATATATATATATATATATATATATATATATATATATATAGCATCAAAATTTTAGAAATTTGTTCTGTGCTAGGGATTTGAGTTGTTATAAATATATATTGCTTAGATTCTTATCTAAGATGATTATCTGTTAGTTTCTGAACTCTAAAAATAGATTTAGAGCTGACATCTACTTGGGTATCAGAGCTTAATGCCTCTATGTGGTTGTGCTGTGCTGAGAGATCGTCAGTGCGATTACATAGTTGTCTTCTGTATTGTTGAGGAGGTAGAGAGATCATTTTCTTGGTGATACAGTCAGTCTCTCGATTTGGGTTAGAAATGACTTAGGTTGTGAGTGATACGTAGTGACATTGATGAATATTGTTAGGTTGAATGTAATTGGTCGGTAGATTTAAGTCTGTGATGAGTAGATTATATGCAGGCTTGATAAGTTCTTCCTTAGTTTTTTCTTTTGTTTACATTTATTTTTTGTTGATACTTTTCCTTTCAACCCATTTATCCCCAAACTCATTAACAAATGATTTATCAAACGACGATTCAATAACCAATCTATATGGACATGGTACGATATAACATATATCAACCGATAAATTAATAACTTACTTTTGCTTGCCGCTATACCGCCGCAACAAAATGACACCGTTGCCGGGGATTGGTTCTATTGTTTTTGCATTGCGATAATTCTTTTGTTTTTTAGTTTTGTAATTAATGTATATGTTGTATAAAAATTGTACATTAACTTGTATTTGATACTTGTGCATATATATGTTTTTCTTTGTTTTCACGTATCGTTGTGAATTGTCTCGTTTTCGTAACGTTTGTTGTGTGACTGTTAGGAAACTTTCTTTAGGTTTGAGCAGTGTGACAATAACATGGCATGACGAGAGGAGGTTACTAGCTTGCACAATAAAGACGTCGAGCTTACGATGTAAAACAAGCATGTTTGTTTGTATTTATTTATGTGTATGGTGATTTGTGTTTTAACAAGTTGAAACAAGGAAATATTCTGAATTTCAAATCTTCACTTTTCAACTTGTTAATTCATTTTCACCCGGTTTTCATATCGTTATTTGTATTTGTTTGTTATGTCAATTTGTGTTTTCCGAAAGCTTGTCGTGTTTAGCTTGAGGAGTTTTGTTCGTTGTAAATATTGTAAATTTTGTAGGAGTATTATTTTTCTAATTCTTTTGTTGTTATTTGGACTCAAGTTTTGGTTCGGTAACTTGTAGAATATTGATGTGATTTGTCAAGTTTGATCTTTCGACTTGCAAATGTGTGGTAATGATTTTGTTAAAGTTTTGTACACGTTCGAGGTATGTTAGCATATACCTGAAGTGCAATAGAAATAGAGACGTAATATGACATAAATAAACAAAAACGGTAAAAGAATTCATGCGAGTCGAGTCGAATATATAGTGAAATTTCGCTTTATCAATACAAAAACATCAAGCCAAAAAAGAGAAAAAGTAAAATATCAGACCTGTAACCGGTTACACCAAACCTGTGACAAGTTACAACAACAAATAATAAAAAAGTAACTAATAGGGGTGATCAGTCACTGTAAATGTGTAATCGATTACAACAATTTCAAAAACATTTTTTAATCAGCTTATTAACTTATTTTTTATGGTTGTAATCGATTACACTCCTGTATTAACTAGTTACAACACTTGAAATACTTAAAATCTCTTAACAAAATTGAACTATTTTATTTTGTAGAAATTGATTCCCCGTTTTGTATTTCTCAAAATAGGTCAGTCACATTATATACAAGAGGAGGCATTTGTTAGCTCCTAGAATCATGCCTATAATACTGTAATTTCTAATTCTATTATACAGCTGTACCATTACAATATTGAATAAAATATGATTCTGTTATTACTAGCAAGATGTTTACCAAATATAGCATAGCTGAACAAAATATGATTCTGTTATTACTAGTAGAATGTTTGCCATTTATAGCGTAAAATACCAAATATAGCTTAATACCCTCTCTCAAGTTGGAGCATGAAGATTTCTAATACCCAACTTGTCGACAAAAGAGTTAAATTGCGGATTTCCTAATGCTTTTGTGAGTATATCCGCAAGCTGAGCAGTAGTACGGACATAGATTGGACGTTTATTATCTTTGAGAATTTCATTTCGGACGAAATGGCAATCAACTTCAATGTGTTTGGTGTGTTCATGGAACACTGGGTTCTTGGCAATGTGTAAAGCCGCTTGATTGTCACAGTGAATGATCATGGGTTTGTTATGATCAATTCTTAGATTGGAGAGGATTCCCTTTAACCATTTTAACTCGCATGTAGTAGTCGCCATTGACCGGTACTCAGCCTCAGTAGATGACCGAGAGACCGTGTGTTATTTTTTTGTTTTCCAAGAAATGGGAGAGTCACCAAGCTGCACCAGCCAGCCAGTGACTGATCGCCTGGTTAGAGGGCAGCTAGCCCAATCTGAGTCGCACCATCCATGAAGTTGCAGGTCACATTGTTGACTAAGAAATATTCCTTGTCCTGGGTTACCTTTCAAGAACCGGACCACTCTTAATGCAACCTCCCAATGATCCGTACGAGGTTCGTGCATGAATTGAGATAATATATGAACACAATAAGATAGCTCAGGCCGAGTGAAACACAAATAAATCAATCGCCCAACCAAACGCCGGTATTTCTTGGGATTTGAAAGCAACGGTCCCGTAGCTAGTGATAAGCGATGGTTCTGCTCCAGTGGGGTGGGCGCAGGTTTAGCACCAAGAAGGCCAACTTCAGATATGATGTCAAGTGCATATTTGCGCTGACAAAGAAAAATACCTGGAGAATTTCTAGCAACTTCAATACCGAGAAAATACTTCAATACACCCAAGTCTTTCATATGAAAACAAGTGCTAAGGTAGAGTTTAAAGTGCTTGATGGCAGAGGAAGTGTTTCCTGCAATGATTAAGTCATCAACATAAACAAGAACCACAAGGTGGGTATCTTCTTGGTGCAAAGTAAACAAAGAATAATCAAGGTATGATTATTGGAATCCGTAAGATTTGAGAGCAGCCGAAAGCTTGGCAAACCAACAACGTGGAGCCTGTTTTAAACCGTAAAGAGATTTATGTAGTCTGCAGACCATGTCTTGTTGCGAAGCTGAAAAACCAGGAGGCATTTTCATGAAAACCTCTTCATGCAGATCCCCGTGTAGAAACGCGTTGTGCACATCCATCTGATGGAGTTCCTAAGCTTTTGCCGCTGCCACTGCCAAGACAGTGCGTATCGTTACCATTTTTGCGACCGATGCAAACATTTCAGTGTAATTGACCCCTTCCACTTGGTGATTTCCGAGTATGACTAATCGGGCTTTAAATCATTCAATTGTACCATCAGAGTGGTGTTTTATGCTGTACACCCATTTGCAACCAAGAGCTTTCTTCCCATGAGGTAGTTTTTGTATACTCCAAGTACGATTTCGTTCAAGGGCTTCGATTTCAGTTTGCATTGCGTCTCTCCAACGAGCATCCTTCACTGCCTCATGAAAGTAGAGTGGTTCTTTTTCGGAACTAATTGCTGCAAGAAAATGTTTATGCGGCAAATAAATTTTTTCACAATTTACATAATGTGTGATAGGATATGGTGCACCTGAAGCGTGTGATTGAGCGGATGAGCAAGGTAAAGGACTCAACTTATGAACCGTGTTTGTGACGTAATCTTGCAACTGAGTGAATGGATACTTGACACGGCAGCCGCGCCCCAAAGATTCATTTTCATTCTCGTCGTGACTGGTTTGAGTTTGTATATGTATGGGGTCTGTTACTGCATCAGTACTTTCTTCACCATCCTCTATAGCAGGACCCCCCCCCTGTTTTCATGTACGATTTCTATTGATGACTCATTTTGATAGGCTGTCCCACCTTTATTTTTATTTTCCATATCATCCTCTTCAGTGATTGGGAGCTCCAGCATCGTTCTATTTGTCCTAACATCATCTTTTTGTTTTTCAATTTCGTGAAATGGAAACTGATTTTCAGAGAAAATTACGTCTCGTGACACAAATAATTCACGGCTTTCAAGATCGTAAACTCTCCATCCTTTTTGTCCATAAGGATACCCAACGAAAACACACCGACGGCTGCGAGTCGCAAATTTGTCTCCATTTGTATGTTGGTTTCGTGCAAAACACAAGGAACCAAAAACACGCAAGTGAGTATAACATGGTGCATGTCCATGTAGTATTTCATATGGGCTTTTTCCTTTTAAAATGGAGCTTGGAGTTCGATTAATCAAGTATCCTGCTGTCAAGACACGTTCACCCTAAAAATCAATGGACAAATTCCCTTGAAATCTTAAAGCTCGCGCCACATTTAGAATATGCTGATGCTTTCTTTCGACTCTACCATTTTGTTGTGTTCCTGTGCAAGAAGTTTGGAACATTATCCCATTTTCAAGAAAATATTTTTTCATGCAAATAAATTCTGTTCCATTATCGCTTCTTACGGTTTTGACCTTCTTATTATACTGCCTTTCCACCATAGAAAAAAAATTGTCAGTGTCCTTGACACTTCCTTTTTATCAATTAGTAAAGAAATCCAAACTGCACGTGAACAATCATCGACAATAGTAAGAAAGTATGAAGCACAACAAGAAGAGGGAGTTCTATATGCTCCCTGTGATATGGTGGGAGAACTGACTTGGGTTTTGCGTTTGTTTTCGCAAATGTTTCGGTTGAGCAAGAGTCGCCACCGACTTTTTATTTTATCCTAAGGAAAGGTTAAAAAGCACATCAAAAACCTTTGAGATATTTTCTTGGGTTCGGGGAGTAGATTATAGAAAGGGAAGGTATTAGCACCCTTTCTATCCATGGTTATCCATGGGCTCTTAGTTACTTGCTTAGATCAACTTACCTTGATTTTCAATTGTTTGAAATGGTGCTTTCAATTGTTTGAAATGGTGCTTTGTGTGTGTGTTTGAAAAATGTTTTTGAAAAGAGGCCAATGTGGTGGCAACCTTTGTAATGATCCATGTTTGAATGTATACAAAGGTGTATGTCTTTTGAAAAGTTTTCAATGTTTTTTGAAAGTTGTTTTGAAAGTGTTTGTGATGTGTGGTTTTGAAAAATAGGCAAGGGTTTTTGTTTTGCAAGTTGGCAAGTAACCAAGAACTATCTACCCTAAATTTCTCAAAGATCTTTGCTATGTTTTAACCCTTTTAATAATTTTGTTCCACCATTGTATTTGGTGGACAATCTTGTGTTAGGATGTGAACGGAACGGGCGTGGGTCATCGTTTAGACCATGATTGCAATGGTGCCAAGTATCTTTGGGCAATTTTTCCTTTAAGGGACTTGATCATTTTTAGGCAACTTTCGAAAGCGTCATCGAGGGACTATGATCATTTGATATTTGTTTTGTTTTGCCAAAGACACCTAACATGCAATATGACCCATTATTGAAGGCAACAAGTGGAATACCCTAGGGGTGCAAGTGTGATTAGTGTTGTCCATTTTCATGCTTGTTTATCTTGAATTTAGGTCAAACTATTTTTGGTTAATTTTGCATACAAAACCCTAATTCTATCATGGTATAATTAGAAAGCTTTAAAAATGCGAAAAATAAAAGGTCCTAAGTTATTACAATACAATATATGGGATGGGGGGTACAAATGTTCAAATGGGGATATTTTAGCAAGAAATTAAAATCTAACTATTACATCCAAATTGAATCACACAAATTAATTAATTGCACAATACTTAAATAAAATAAAATAAATATGCAAGATGCAAAAATGATTTTTATGTGTATGTAAAAAGTATTTTTTATGTGTTAAATAAACAAAAATAAAATGAATTAATTTTTGGTATTTTTATGCATTTAGGGCAAAACCCTAATTTTATAAATAAAAGGTATTTATTATATAATATATGCAATATTTATTAATTATGTACAAAAAATAAATAAAAGAAGGTATATTGTAAAAAAAGTATTTTTGAGGTCGAAATATTAATAAAAATAAAATGTATTAATTCTTTGTGTTTTCCCTAAATATACTAATAAATCTATAAGTATTTACATTATTTATTAAATATATTAAATATGTACAAAAAATAAAATATTTAATATTATTAAAAAAAGTATATTTTTTATAAAATGTTTTCAAAGGTAAAATAAAATAAAAATCAGAAAATAAAAGTATTTGTATTATTTTTAGTTATTTTAAAATAAAAGGATATTTATGTTTATTTATTTACATACATCAAGTTAGAACAAATAAATACCTAAAAATGCAAAAAAAGGTGAAAAAAATAATTTTAATATTTTTTATGTTTTGACAAAAATAAATAAGTCAGAAACAAAAATCAAAAGTCAAAAATAATGAAAATAAAATGCAATGGGCCAAGGAGGTGCAAATGTAAAAACATGGTGCAAAAAGGAAAAATGTCACAAGCCCAACCCAATAGAGGTTGTCTTCAACCTCCAACACAAAAATGTCAAAAACGCGCGCCTTAACTCCCTGGTTCAAACATCCTGATTCCTGGACTTTTAGCACAAACTTATAACATGAAAGATGTCAAGCATCAAGCCACGATTCCATAGATATAAAAAACTCAACTTCACTCTCAGAAATGAGAGAATTTCTACATCCCTAATTCTTAACCTAAGTTTTTGTCAATGTTCAGGTCCTAAATTCTCTCAGCATATGCAATATAAATGGAAAGTGAGGATATGTATAGCTTCAGGGTCATGAGTAGAACATTTTTCATTCATAAACTTAAAGCTAACTCTTCCTAGATTGAGAGATAGAAGTCCATGAACTTACCTGTTCAGCTTGGATCGTGTCTGGCAATGGAGGTACTTTCAAGGCAAGGTGAGGATTGGTACAGCTTGCTTGAAGTCCAGGGATGCTATTCCAACCTTTAGCTTGCTTTGAAACCAAGTGAATCAAGCTATGGCAATCAACCTGCAAAACAGAAAAAGTGAAAATGGCAAATGGTGTTAGGGATGTTACAGGTCGTGTCCAATGCTTGGGACAGCTTCAGGGGGTGATAGGGAACGTGTTTGCAAAGGTTTTAGCCAAAACGCACGAGGGGAAATGTTTATGGAAGCCAAGTTGCAGGGATGCCCTGTTTTTGTGCAGTACAAAGGTGTTTTGAGGTTTGATGAGGTTTGGAAGGTGTTTTGGTCGTGCCTTAGCTCAGTTATGTTGTTTGGGATGTGTCTAACAAGTTTGTCTAAGCTAGTTCTTGCAGCAATGAGAGTTGGTGTGTGTTATGCAAGGTTTCTTCTATCTTAAGCAAGAAATGGAAAGTTGGTTTTCTAGACTTGTACAGGCCCCTCAAGTATGCTGCACACTTGAGCCTTGATCAGTGTGATATCTCCATGAATCTTGTGTCCAAAGATATGCATTGTACCACATAGATTGCAAAATTGACATAAAGTAACACTTTACAAAAATGGATAATATGCTTTTTCCAATTAAGGCTTAATCTAACATGTATTGCCCAAATGAATGAAATAACAACTTGGCACAATGGTTTAGCATTGAATTTTTGAGTAAGAAAGGGATTAGAGGCCTGTAACCTAGCTTATGCATGCTGATTTCAAAAATGCCCAAGTTATGAACATGTAAATTGGCCATGAACAAAGTGAGTTTTGCCCATATTGCCAAATTCGATTCTCCCTAACCACAAGGTTGTTTGATGAGTTCTTGGACATTTTGGAAAGCTTGGAATGTGTACTACAATCCATCTTTGTAATGCAAGTTGAAATTCCAAGCGGAAGTATGTGAAAAGTGGCCATGAAGTTAGGCAAAAATCCTGCCTAAAATAGGTCAAAATTTCTCTAAGTTAAGAATGTTTTGCACCCTTGTTCCAAAAATCATAACTTGAGCTACAAGATTCTTTTGAGGAAACTTTGTGAATAAAAGTTGTAGATTTTGCAATGGACTACAACTTTCATGTTTTGACTTTTGTTTGAATCCAAATGCATCTTGATGAAAAAATGGGACAAAGTTAGGAAAAAATTAGGGATTTTCATAACTTAGAAAATTTCTAAGTTATGAAAATTCTTCATTTCAAACCCTAATTTTTGATTTTTGATTTCTTGATGAACAAGTTTCATGATTTGGCATGTTTTGATGAAAAATGAATCTTGACACTTGATTTTGACCAAAAAGTCAAAGTTTGACTTTTTAGTATACAGTCAAATTTGGCTCAGTTGACTGGAAAATTCATCTGTCAATCTTGTGCATTTGGGACCTTTTGAACTTGTTGAACATGTCAAGACAATTCCAAGGGGTCTTTGAGTCCATATGTGAGCTTGGTTTGCCATTGTCTAGGTCAAACAGTCAAAAATTGCCTTTGTGCAGTCAAAACCATAAAAATGACCATTTTGCCCTTTTGGTGATCTGATCAAATTTCTTGTGGAATTGTGATCCAAACTTGACCAAATGGTTCAAATGAGTTCATAATGTTGATGTGGGTCAAATTTCATGAGGTTTGACTGTTAATTTACCACAGTTGACTTTTCCCCAATACAGCTGATTTCTAGGTCAACTGTCCAATTGACTGGGCAAAGATTGGAATCAAGGCTTGAAACCTGGTATGGGTAAACTTGAGAGTCCAATGTGAAGCATGAAAGTCATTTTGGGCACTTTAGGTCAAAACATATTTGTGCAAACTCAAACCCTAATTTGGGTCAACAGTGCAAGGAGGAGTCTTGAGCAGAGCAAACCCTAACTTGATCTTGAGCTCCAAGGGTCTTGTGGTGAGAAAATATTGAAGAAAAGGGAGGGAAAATTTTGGGGTACAACACTCCCCATAAATCACAATGTATTAAATCAAATATGTCAGAATCTTGTTTATTACTTAACGAAAATGTTTCTCTAGTTTGTTTAGCTCTTTGGCATGTATCACAAACTTTATTTTTCAACTCACCAACACTACTTCCATTACAATTAGAGACTAACTGAGTAGTTTTCCAAGATGGATGTCCCAAGCGTTTATGCCACACTTCTAGTTGATTTAATCATTCAACCTTGTTAGCCTTTACTTTCAGAACCTCCCAGAATAAGTAGAGTCCATCCCTTCGTTCACCCGCTCCAATCAGCATCTTCGAAGTGCGGTCCTGAATAGAACACAAATCAGCGGTAAAATGAACATTACAATTGGATTCATCTGACAATTGTGATATAGAAATTAAATTGCAATTCAACTGAGGAACATAAAGCATATTTTTTTAGTATTAAATCATCAGCAAGCTTTATTTTTCCTTCTTTAGTTGACATGACAGTTTTTCCGTTAGGAAGTCCAACGGGACAACCAATTACTTCCTTCACATTGCATAAGTGTTGTATTATTCTTGTCATATGATTAGATGCTCCGCTATCGATGATCCAAGCGTTGAGTTTAGTCTTACAAGTCATGCTTTCATTTGAAGTAACTTTTGAGGTGTTCAACATTTCTACTAGAGTTTTCCACTGCTCTTTGCTCAATCCTGTCATGACAGGGTTCTCTATATCTCCACCACTAGATCTCATGTTTTGGACAGCATGCGCACGCGCCGGTCCTCTTTGAGCATGTCCACTGTTAGATGCAGTACCTCCAGCGCAATTCTGGCCTCTTCCTCGCCCTAATGCTTTTTCATCATTTCTAGGACGTTCACCCCACCATTATGGGTATCTGATTAGCTGGAAGCAGCCTGCTTCATCATGACCCGATCTGTTGTAGTGCGTACACATAAATTTGTTCTTGATCTCGCGCCCTTTCATCTTTTCACTTGCTTGAACTTCCAAAGCCATAACTTCTATCCTTTCTTCTTTTCCTCGCGTGATAGATCGCATTTGTTCTTCTTGCACCAGAATAGAATACATCTTATTCAAAGATGGCATGGGGTCGGTGGCTAGCAAATTCGAACGCATAATTCCATACAACCCATCATCTAAGCCCATTAAAAACACGTGACATCGTTCCTCTTCTCTGTGTTTTTCAAGTTTTATTTGAATACCACACGTGCACCCCTTGCAAGTGCAGGTCAGTGCCTGTTCATGGTTTGCTAAGTCATCCCACAGAGCCTTCATCTTTCCATAGTAGGCCACCATGGACAAACCTCCTTGTTTGCATTGAGCCAATTCTGATTTGAGTTGTTGAACGCGCGGGCCATTCACGACAGAAAATCTCTCCTTTATGTCGTCCCAAAGCTCCTTAGAGGTTTCAAAATAGGACATGGTCATCCGCAGACTAGGTTCTACCGTATTCAAGATCCATGACACCAACATGGCCTGAACAGTCCACCAATCCTCCATCATAGAGGATTCTTCTTCAGGTTTCTTTATGGTTCCATCAATGAACCCCCATTTTCTCCTTGCTCTTAAGGATGTTTTCACAGCTCTAGCCCATTCATCATAATTTTCACCCTGCAGCTGCACTTGCGTAATCACACTTCCAGGGTTGTCGTTGGAGGTGAGATCGTAGGGTGATGGATTTTTCTTCTGAGATTGATCATCTCCTGTTACAGAAGATTTTGGATCTTTTTCTCCTTCCATGGCTCTGATACCATGTAGATATTGATTCCCCGTTTTGTATTTCTCAAAATAGGTCACATTATATACAAGATGAGGCATTTGTTAGCTCCTAGAATCATGCCTATAATACTGTAATTTCTAATTCTATTATACAGCTGTACCATTACAATATTGAATAAAATATTATTCTGTTATTACTAGCCGGATGTTTACCAAATATAGCATAGCTGAACAAAATATGATTCTGTTATTACTAGTAGAATGTTTTCCATTTATAACGTAAAATGCCAAATATAGCTTAATATATTTCGACAACAAAATGATATGTTGGGTCAGTATGACTATCTTCTTTCTGAAATGCTAAAGAAGCCGTGTTTTTGAAATTTATTATGCCTTCATCATTTAAGGATACATCACCCAAGAAATGATTTGAGGGTTGAAAAACTAAATCATCTCAAAATTCACATTGGTATCTACAGACAAATTAAAACTTGAAAAGCCAACACTTACTCTTTTTTTTAAAATCATAAATCATTCTAGTAATATAGTCCTCCTCTTCAATTAGCCTGCTAAACAGACGGAATATAGTCAACGCCATCATGGAAATTGATAGGAGATGCAATTAGATATTTTAATTAGTAATATAATTATGTTAGTTGTTATTTTATTTTGAATATTTTGTTGAATTGGACTTTTAGTAATGTTTGAGCCTTTAAATTTATTATCATTAGAAGTACTATATATTGTAGTCTCATTGAGACATTAGGTATCAAGAAATTAATAAAAAAATCATCTTTTATTCCTTCTATATTTATGTTGTCATTTTAGTATTATTCTCTCTTTAGTGTAAAAACCCTAATTTATAGTTTTGATAGAAAATTTCCTATCAAAAATCCTCAGAACATATTTCTCCTTCAACCAAACCTATTATTGATCAATTCACACAGCTTGCCAAAACATTGGAATTTGGTAAGGTGATAAAGACAATGTTCCATTTGGTTTGGAAATCAGTTGAGGTAAATATGTTAATAAAGATTAATAATATGCATTTTATGTAAGTGGTAAATATAGGGAGATTTGTGACATGAGAATGGGAACAACACTTTACTATTAGAAGAAATTCAAGAAGGTTTGAAACTCCGCATGAGAATGGGAACAACACTTTACTATTAGAAGAAATTCAAGAAGGTTTGAAACTCCGCAATATAACGTATTTTTTTTAGTCTATTCTAATATTAACTTTAAGTTAGTGTGCAATGTGATGTGTCACATCAACTTCTATTAAGAGAGATAGATGACAAAAATTAAAAATGTGGAGTTTAGACGAATTTTTTTAGAAAAATCATGGAAATATTTATATGAAGTAAAACTGAATCATGAACTACTTATAAAAACGAAAAAGATATTTAATCCATCTAATTATAATTTGGTAAATACTCAATTTTCAAGTCATAAATTAATTTATTTAGGATATAAATAACTCAGATATATGAAATTATCATAAGTATATTAAAATATTACATTACCTGATCTAAGTATTTAGAAATAAGTTTAAAGATTGACAGTATAAAAAAATTGCACTCTCATCTAATAGAAATATATTGTTTTTTCATGTTATATAATTTTTTTAATAATAACAATCTGACTTGGTTAGATTTATGATTGTCATTAATTGACCGTATAAGTTCTTTTACTCTGTCAGTGCATGATCCACTTTCTTTAGAAATATCACTCCTTGCATATTTAGCATAAAAATATGATAAAACCCCCTATTTACCTATATTTGTGTTAAAAATTAAAATGCATAGAATTTTAGCCTGAATATGCGGTGAAAGTCTTTTAAACATAGAACCCAAAACATTTTTATTTTGTGTTCAAATTCTATAATCCAACGCCACATATAACTCACAAACTCTTTCTTCTTTCTTTCACTCTTTATTAGGTTAGCTTGTTTCATATTTTAGAATTTAAACATGCACCACTATAATGCAGGTTCGAATTCTAAAATTTAAACATGCATTTTCGTTTTGGAAATTAAATTGGTGACACAATGAAGTGGAGACGAGAGTTTGATAAGTACTTCCGATACGACATATTAAAGTGAATCTGTAGGGTTAATATTCCAATACTTAAGTTAGAGAATAAATGAGAAAAAGTATGAGTGTGAAAATGACTCAAGCGAATTAGTGTTCAATTAAATTTGACTATGAAAGATGGCGGGAGATTGAAATTGTGTGATCCAAACTTTAATGAGATCGTCCCTATTCCTTTATACTTTCCTTTATAATGATTGTATGCGGCTCAAAACAATAATCATTTATTTTAATAAGAAAATGATAATCTTTCCCCTCAAAAAAAATGGTAACAACTTTGTGGAAAGCAAAGAGACCCATGACCAAGTCAAAGAAAAAGATGAGACACGTCTGGTGAATATTTATATTTAAAAAAATAAATATACACATGTTTGACCCATGTTTGAGTAAAAAAAAACACACTCAGTTCAATGAACACGAAATGAAGAGGATTTTCCTCCTATTAATTAATAACTAACTTCTCCAATTTTTACGTGTTGCTTTTAGTTTTTGAGTCCTTTAAATTCACTCCTCTATGTTTTGAGATCTATCTCTACCCTATTGTTATTGTTGTCAAAAACAGAAAATGGAAGATCAACAATCTAAGAGCTTTGATCCAAGGTATTGTATTCCATTAATATAATTTTTTCATTTGACCGCTACTTGTGAACCAATCTTCAAACTACTGAAGAAAGATCAATTAGTCAAATGGAATGATGAGTGCCAAGCTGCCTTCGACAAAATCAAAGAGTACCTGCAAGAGCCTCCTGTTTTGATGCCACCAGTCGAGGGAAGACCCTTGATTACGTATCTAACTGTTTTGGAAAATTCAATGGGGTGTGTGTTGGAGCAACATGACGAGTCTTTCCGAAAAGAGCATGCTATTTATTACCTGATAAAAAAGTTTACCGACTGTGAAACAAGATATTGAGGTCCAGATCCCTTCTCTGAGAATCATGAAGGATGCAGGGCTGAGTGAAGATGATTGGATCCAAACTCGACTTGACCAGTTGAATCTAATTGATGAGAAGAGGCTTATGGTTGTCTGTCACGGCCAAATTTACAAAAAACACATGATCAAAGCTTTTAACAAAAAGGTCAGACGTCAGGTATATCAGGTTGGTGACTTGGTAATCAAGCGTATCATATTACCACAAGGTGATCCTAGGGGAAAATGGAATCCTACATATGAAGGACCGTTTGTGATCAAAAGCATATTCTCTGGTGGAATAATGATCTTGACCACTATGGATGGTGACGACCTTCCACACCCTGTGAATGCAGACATAGTCAAAAGATACTATACATAAGAGAGCCTCTAGGTTGACACACCTAGGAAAAACAAGGGCATCCCGGCGAACCAAAAAGGTTCGGGCAAAAATTAGGGATAAAACAAAAAAATATGTACACCCGGCAAGTTGAAAACACGAAAGGGCGACTTGGGCAAAAAAGGGTATCCCGATGGACTGAAAACCCGAAAGGGAGGTCCAGGAAAAATTTAGGGAATTAAAGCGTATGACTATGTCCCGTTGGATCAACTTACATACAACCTTTGGCTTCGACTGACCAACTCAACGGTCCTAATCAATCCAATCAACTCCAGACAAGGCAGCAAGTGGACAAGACGCTCAGAGACACGAAAGCTATGGCAGAATGGGAACCCCATGGGATTATTGCACATAGCTATCTTTTCTTTGTATCAAATTTTCATTTTTTTTACGATGACATTCTCTTACAAGAGTGATCATCTCATTATACAAAAAATACTTATTCAAGTTAATACAAAGATACCCCTTTGAAAGTGAAAACCAATCTGTTTTTCTTTATTCCTGTGTTTTGTTTACAAAAACGTCCAATGATTTATTTTTGAACATATGCATTTGAACGTAACTACTGTCTACAAATGAACAAAAAGGAACAGAAAATAAAAAGAAAATCACTAAT